GCGTCAGTCCGGTTCCTATTCCACCGGCAAGTCAGATGGTATTACATTGAGAACACACTCCCGCTCCTCCCCCTTCTGGTGTGGATGCCCAAGGCTGGCATTGATTATTTCCACCCGGAAGGATGTACCGCTCCTTACCCCTGCCTAAGTTAGCCTGTACTATTTCTCTCTTACCTGTCGCTGTTGGACTAGAGATCCATTTGCTCTACACTTAAAGCCTGCTTTTCATTGGGTTTGCACACCTATCTGATGCGTTTGTTTGTTACTTGCCTACGTTTGAATTAATGGCGTTACTCTGAGATTTCTAGGCTCGAGTAGGAGGCTCTCTTTACTTGTAGCTTGTGTCCTTGAGTTCCCATCAGTATATTCCTTTCAGCTCTTGGACTGTCGGATCTTCTATACTTTGCTGGAACTGCTGGGTTGGTGTCTTTCTTTGGTTTTTGTTGAAACCCTGAGTGCTGTCGGGTTTGGTTACTTCTACATTTGTAAGCACTTTAGACCCTTGCTGGTTTTTCCTCTCCCTCTGTTTGGGTATTTGCTATTACCCTATTTGCAAATTCGGGCGCTAGCGATCCTAGTTCTGAGTTTGCTCGGACTTAGTGTCCATTTTCCGTGTGCATTGTCAGTACTGGTGCTGGGTGTTCTCGATTCTTAAACCCTAAACCCTGGGGAGTCACTTACTATGGTCTTAATGATGTCTGATAGTGTGTTAGGCAATTGCTAGCGCGGGGATTTTTTCCTTGTGATTAGCGGATGTTTTGTACTCCTGTTTTGTTGTTGATGTGGTCTGGGGTCCTTTTTTATTACTAGGTTGATGTCTTCTCTTTTTTGTTTTTTGTTCATAGGGTTTTGAACCTATCTAGCTGGTGTGCATGTTAATGTCTAGGGACCCAGGGATACTATTGATTGTGTAGGTTTCTAGCTGATTTCCTGGTGGTGTTTCTTTCCACAGCTTGAAAGTTATACCTCGACCTGGGATGGACGCGATCTTACGTTCTCCTCAAATTTGAGCTTGAGGTCCTTTGCTTTATCCTCTTCTTCTTTCATTTTTCTCTTTACCCTTTTCCACAGGACCCAATATTCTGTCTCCACCTGCTGTTGGAATAGTCCCCACGCCTCTTGAGTGTGCACTGTGCATCCTTTGTTTGTCTATCGTCCCTTGACATCTTTTCTTCCATATGACCCATATGGATGCTTTCCTGAGTACTTTGAAGAGGTTGCATTCTATCGGGGACCACTTCTCTGGAGTATTGAAGCCTAGTAGCAATAGGGTGTGGTTACTTGTGAATGCAGTATCCGTTATAACCTCCCACAACTTGGATACTTTTTGCCACAAGGGTTTTATTTTGGAGCAAGTAAAAAAACAGTGGTATAGGTCCTCCAATTGACCGACGTCGCAGTTGGCACAAAGTTCGTTTAGTGGGCTTCTATCTTCTTTTTTTCTTTGGGTGTTTAACCATGGATTTAAAGGTACTGCTGGATAAAGTATTAACCATTGTAGACTCCTGAATTTAGGTGGCCTTATGCTTGCTACTGTGTTCCAGGGTATTGGCTTAAGGATTTCGGGTTCTACTCCAAGGTGCTTCCGCCAACGTTCTACTATTATCGGGTCTGGATTGGAAGAGCGTCTTCTTAGTCTATACCCTAGTCGAGTTGTGTATCGCAGAATATTAAGTTTGGAGCTAATTCCTGAGGGTTCTTGTTTCAGGTTCCATGCCCATTCGACTGGGTCAACTTCTAGGTTCTCTAGTGAAGTTTGCGGGAGGAAGATGGTTAGGTCTATGTTTTCCACGACTCTTATTTTTCTGAGGTTGTCCTCTCTGACTGTTACTTTTGCTGATGAGTTTTTGTCTACTTTACTGAAGTCTGACTAAGGTTCTTCGATTTCATGCATAGTGAATGTATACCAGTTATCGATGCCTTCTTCTTTCCCGCAGAAGGCCAGTGCATGGTTTTGGGGGAATATGTGGGTCATGACTGCCCAATCTCTTGTCGCCCATTATCTGTCCTGTCTTAGGATTGGTAGCCATTCTTGAGGGATGGTGGTTGTTAACTCTTGCAAGTTTTGGGATAACCGATGACACCCCTTGAGTTGGTTTCGGAGTTGTTTGTCTGTTTTCCAGTCTTTTGAGTTATCATCCCATATGTGCTTTATTTGCCATACGCCTTTTTCCAGCCATGCTCCCCATCTTGTGTCTTTCGTGGTTAGGGTCAGCGGATTTTCATCTTCCTTTGTTATCCATGGATTACAGAATAGTGGTTGTCTGAGTATTTCCTCCTTGATTTGAGGTTTCCTTGCTTTTGCTGGGAAAATCTCTCTCCATGCTCTCAGAATCCCCTTCCAGAAGCCTATCCTAGATGTTTCTTGGCCTCTACCCTTCATGGACCATGATTTACTCATTATCCAAAATGAGTCTTCCATGTTGGGTGGCAAGCTGTATAGAGGTATCTGTTGAATTCCGTCCAAGGCTAATGCTCTCCAAGGTAGGCTGGGCCTGGTGAGGAGCTTGAGGATCCATTTAGTTTGGAGGGCTTTTATTTGGGTACTCGGGTCTAAGATGCCTAGTCCTCCTTGACTTTTCTTTCTAGTAACGTATTGCCAGGCTACTTTCGTTGTTGTCTGGAGGCATCGCCTGTCCACAGGTAAGCAGCGGCTTTCCTTTTGGTGCTTTTAGCATGGTCTGATCTGGAGTCCAGAAAGCTGCTACATACCACATCATTGCAAAGATTGAGGAGTTCAATACTAGGGCTCTCCCATACAGTGATGTGTGGATTTTTCCCCAAGCATTTAGCTTATTGGTCATTTTGTCTAGAAGACTGGGGGTCATTTCGGCTGCCGCTCGTTGTGCAGACATCTGAATTCCTAGGACCCTCAACGGGTCTTTTGGGTCAGTTCATGTCATGCCCTCGGGTGTGTTTCCTGGTAAGTCTATGCTTCCGTCCGTTAACCACCATCCTACAATTTTCTGCCAGTTGATGTGCATTTCCGAGGCGAGTTGGTATGCATGCATTGCTCTGGTGAGGGCTTCAAATGAGGAGATGACTAGCACCGTTAGATAATCTGCGAACAAGATCGTTGAGGGAATGAGGTGTAGGTTGTTTGGATCTTCGAACGGGTTCGTGAGCCTTTGAATGGAAGGATATTTTCTCAGGAAGGAGGCTATTGCTTCCATTATGAATAGGAAGATTGGAACTGCTAATGGGTCGCCTTGTCTTACCGACCTGGACATTCTGAAGGGTTCTGAAATGTGCCCATTAACTTGTACTGCTCCTTGGGCGTC